TTATATTATTATTACTATTTTTCTCATTTTTTTTAACATGCTCAATGTATCATGTTTGGCATGTCAAGTGTACAGCACTTTGTGTTCAGCTCGTGGCTGATCTGAAAGCGCTATATAAATAAATTGCTTGCTTGCTTGCTTGCTTTCACTAGAACTAAGGGGCCGAGCACAACTCCTGAAAACCAACCCCACACCACACCAACAAACTTTTACTTGGCACAATGCTGTGAGATAGGTACCATTCTCCTGACAACTTCCAAACCCAGACTCCTCCATCAGATTGCCAGACAGGGAAGCATGATTCATCGCTCAAGATAACATGTCTCCATTCCTCTAGAGTCCAGTTTTAACCCAACTGCATCAGACGCTGCATCGCATTTCATAATGTGGATACAGCTGTTCTGATGAGCCCCTTGAGGAGACTGTTGTTGTGATTTAGTTCTATATAAATAAATTGAATTGAGGTAATCTGAAAGCCACATAAAATTTGGAGATCTGTAGCTACTGATTCTGTAGAAATTTGATGATCTCTGCACACTATGCACCTCAGCATCTACTGACCCCGCTCTGTGATTTTGGCTGGCCTACCACTTCATGGCTGAGTTGCTGTTGTTGTTGTCATAATACCAATAAGAGTTGACTTATATTTAGTTGTGAGGAAATTTCTAAACTGGACTTGCTGCACATCCTATCACATTACTATGTTGGAATTTACTGAGCTGCTATGGGCGAAACATTCATTCGAAAATGTTTGTAGACGCTGTCTGCATGCCTAGGTGCTTGATGTAATACACCAGTGATCATTAAAGTGATCCAAAAAACACCTGAATTCAATTATTTGGATGGGCATGAGAATCTTTTTGGAAATTTTCTGATTTACTTTAATGTATCACATTCATCAGCCACTTTTTAAGGTACAGAAGTTCAGCTGCTTGTAATGGGAAATAATCTAATCAGCCATCACATGGGAGCAACTCAATGCATTCAGGGAAGTAGACATGGTCAATACAACCTGCTTTATGTCAAACTGAGCATCAGAATGGGAAAGAAAGCAATTTAAATGATTTGAATGTGGCATGTTTGTTGTTAAAAGTCGAAGCATATCAGAAACTTAAAATACTGGGATTTTTCCACTTGACCATGTGTAGGATTTGCAAAGATCCTAAAAGACAAAGTCAGTTCTATATTTAAAAATCTGCTTAATACCAGAGGTCAGAGGAGAATTGCCAGCCTGCTCCCAGCTTAAGGCAATGGTGTCTCAAACAGACACTCATTACAACCATAGTATGCAGAAGAGCATCTCTGAATGCATAACACATTGAACCTTGAAGCAGATGGGCTACAGAAGCAGAAGAGCACACCAAGTGCCACTCTTGTCATATAAGAACAAAAAAACAAGGCTAAAATTATTACCATTCATCAAAGTTGGAAAAATATTGCCTTTTTTAAATTTTTGGTAGGATCAGAATTTGGTGTAAACAACATCATATCAGGAGTTCAGGCTGCTACTGCTGCTGCTGGTGTAATGTTGTGGGGGATGTTTTTGTGGTACTCACTGAGTTTCTTTGTACTACTTCAAGCATACCTGAATACAGTCATGATAAAAGGAAGTCTTGTTTTACATATCAGGACATAATAAACAATTGTCAAGTTCTTATAGAATTCAAATGAGTTGAACACAAACCTAGATGAATTACAACACATAAAATATTAGACTGTTTCTTTATTTTTTTTTATCTAAAAACTAAGCCAACATGCAGAAGCATGTTGTGAAAAACTAAGTACGCTCCATGATTCTGTAGCTTGTAGCAGCAATAATTTGCAGTAATCAAATTTTCTGTATGACTTTGGTCTCAGTCTCAGTCTGTCACCCAAGGCAGGAGGAATTTCAGCTCTCTCTTATTTACAGTGTTGTTTCAGTTCAATTAAGTTTGCAGGAATTTTTTATTATGCACAGGTTTCAGTCGGGTTGAGTTCTGGACTTTGACTCGGTCATTGTAACATCCTTTTTTACTAATTCTATTGTAGACTCACCGCTGTGCTTGGAATCATTGTCCTGTTGCATGACAATATTTTGGCAAAGCTTTAACTCTCTGACTGATAGACTTAGATTTGGCTCTACAATGCTTTTATATACAGAGATGTTCATAGTCAACTCAATGACTGCAAAGTCCCTGGATCCTGTAACTGCAAAACAAGCCCAAATCACCGTCCATAACTGTGCTTGACACCTGGTATGAGGTGTTTGCGCTGCTGTGTTTATGCTGTGTTTACACCAAATGTGGTGGTGTGTATTAAAGCCAGATTTATAGCCAGATATCTCCACTTTGCTCTTTCCTGCCCAAAGGATATTATTCCAGAAGTCTTGTAGCTCAAAACCTGATCTTATGAATCTTACAATAAGAATCAAGCTGCTTTGCAAGGTAGACACCACAAGTCAAAATATGCACAAAAATTGTTAATTGTAGTAAAGGTGGGAAGAAAAACATCGATGTTCAAAGACATGTAGCACTTCTGTCAGTAAAACACAGATACTGATGCTCCACCCTGCTGAGCAAAAATAGCATTTTTAAAATAATACATTTTCCTTCTTTTTAGTTATAAAACATTAATAAAAGATAAGAATTAATAAAACAGCACATTATTTTGACTGTCAAAGGAATGACTCATTTAAATCCAAATCAGCTAATCCTTTCTCCAGTTGACAAATGAGAATTCATTTGACTAGTAAATGATGTATCTCATATAACATCCTTATTTCTACTTTTTCCCAGCATTGTAGATTGAAATCAAATGCCAATACCCTCTAAGTGATATGCATATGCATAAGTGGTATGCATAATGTGAATTATAGATGATAATTCACCAAAAAAATGAGCTTGGCAAATAACAATGACACTGCAGTATTACAAGAAAACCCATTATGGGAATGGAAAGTTCTTCAAACAATCTACTAATTTGCAAACAAAGATGCAGTCAATTAATTTCAATAATGAAGTGAAGTGCAGGATTTAAGGAGAAACAAATAAACCCATCATTAAAATTCAATAATATAATAGCACTGTTGTGTGTTGCTGATGGACAACATTAGTAAACTTGTCATAATTTCTATCTTTTTATTGCCTACATTTTTCATTTGTTGCCAGAAGCATAATGCCATTGGGTTAATCATCCCATTCCCATTCTCATGAATGAAATATTTCTGAACATGCTGAGGTAATATCTTCAAATTTGGCACAAATGACTCAAAATGAACAGATTTGAATAAATCGCACGAAAGTAAAGACCTCATAACGCAACGTTTTCAACTGAAGCACTTATAATGACAAAAATCTAAATAAATATTTCACAGCATAAAATGATGATGTGTCATAATTTAACTTCAAAAGATTAAAGTCATCTTCACTTTAACAGAAAAATGCAAACGGTGGGATAACTGAGAAGGACAGATCGATGTTTCCTGACAGGGGATCACGCCAGTTTTGGCACACATGCATTTATTATGACTGTCTTGTAAAAAGCTGTTTAATATCCACAAAAGGTGTTTCGCTACATAGACTGAACAGACCTCAGTTGCAGCCACAAGGACATGAAATGGCTTTCAGCTCTTGTAGGCCTTTTAAATTTTAACACTAAAATTTGTTCGCAGCTCTAGCAGGACGGGAACTTGCACGGGTGTGTTGGAGTAGCTTTGACTGAAAAATAAAAGTCAAGTGCAAGGAGCAAAAGGATGATAGCAAAGAGAGAAACAGTCAAAATGAAAGCATACTATCATAGTGGTGCTTAGCCACAGTGAAGAGAAACGTCAAGAGTTAAAGGTTGGAAAATTGTGGAAAAGAGAAGAGAGGAGAGGTGAAATCAGTTTTCAGGGCAACAGAAAACTGGCTATAACGACACCAGCAAAAAGTTACAGCTCTTTAATGATGGGAGCTTAGTTTTATGAAGACACATCCACAAGACAAAGATTAATCAGCCAGGCAGGAGTTGCCCCTGAACAAACACATCTCCCTTACCCTTGATAGAGCTGTGGGAGGAAACAGGCAGGCTTCAGTGTCAGACAAGCTGGGCGGCTTCAGACCTGTCACAACATCACTGATGTTGGTTTCATCATGAGCTTAGATCATACAGCTGAGAGCAACGGTGGCATGAATTCAAACAGGTTTCGATCTCGTCTTTGATCAAACGCTTCCTCGAGCTAAAGAGTAGGATACATGGTAAAGAATACTTGTCTTGTCTAAGGAGGATGTCTATATGTTTTTGAAGCTTTTACTTCTTACCACTGTAAGTGGAGAGATAAGATAATCTGTCAAATTTCAACTATTTCAATTAGTCACTTGTAAAATTCTTCATAAAAAAGAAACTGACATATTATTTGGATTTGGAGCTCTTGCAAAATGTTTATGACGGCAAGAAATCTCTTCATGTGATAGAACGGATGCTTTTTTAATACTTACTCATTCATAATTCAGTCATCCATTCTTTCCTCTTATGTCTCAGTTTTGTTCCTTTGCTTCTCTCTTTGTGTTGCCAAGTTTGAAATGATATGGGAAATTATGGAAGAAGGCTTTAGTGTCAGGTTTGCTTTTTATTGCTGAACACAAACACATTATTTCTGCCAAGAAGCTTCCATTGCTAGCATATTGACTTTTTTCTGTTGACTCTGGCAGTTAACTGTCATTTGTGGATGTTTTCCTCTCCTAGGTGGTGGGAGAGTGGCGCTTTAGCAAGATCCACTGTGACATCTTTGTCACTCTGGATGTGATGATGTGTACAGCCAGCATCCTCAATCTCTGTGCCATCAGCATTGATCGGTGAGTTTGCCACCTCGCAGATTGTTTAGCCTGTTATGATTCCAGCATGGATTTCCGATGGAAATCTTTACCTGCTGAATAATATGAAACAGAAAACTGGTGTCTTTTAACTGCATGACCATCAAAGCACACACAGCTATTAACAAACAAAATGAGATTTTTAAGCCAGGAATACACCATAACAACACATTCAGTTTCTGTTTATCTGCAATCCTGATTACCAGCCACCAGATGTTCAGGACAGAAATATGTATGCACATCAATATGGCATATTGATGCAATTTTGGAACTAAAATGAGTGCATTATCCAAGGACCACCTGTAAGACAGGTGCTGTGGAGAGTGAAATCTAATAGCATATTTGTGGGTGCCTGCACACTGTCAGCAGCAACCTTTTCATAGACATATGCCAGGGTTAAAAATTTTAAAAATAGATGAACTTTAGCAAAGTTTAGGTTTAACTACCGGGTACAAAAATGAGCAAATCACTGAAAAGGATTTCATCTTGAGTAATTAATTGTTAATTGAATATGTAAAAATAAATACATTTTGTAATATAAATATACACCAAATTAAAAAAAAAAAGAGTTTTAATTAATTAAGTCTTTAAGAAAAAAATAAATAAAAATAAATAAATATTTGCTGAACCCAATTTCTCAAATAAATATTGTTTGAAATAAACATCTTAATGCCTAGTGTGTCATGTTTAATACATATAGTTTTTTGTGTGGTTTGGGGATTTCTGCATAATCAGTGTAATTTTTTAAATCCTGAAAAACCTAAATAAATTGCACGATGTATTTTTAAGCATTTTTTAATGTCAGATGTAGCAAATTAAAGGACATTTAAATGTAATTTAATCAATTTTATTAAGCAGATTTGTTAGATGGTTCAATAAGCTCAATAAATGGTTCAGAAAATTTGAATTTCCTGGCAGTTATTTCATAGGTCATGCTATAAAGGGTTAAGCCAATGTGATGACTTGTCAGATGGTGTTTTGGGTTAGTTGTTAATTTTTAGTTAACTGCTGAGTAAACCCCAAACACCATTTACAAAAAAGTTGCGATGGACAAGGCCGAGAATCAACACTGGATGCCTGTGATCTTAAGATCCTGAGATGGCAGTGCAATAAAACAGGAATCATCCTGTCATAAGAATTCCTGCATGGGCTCCGGAACACTTCCAGATAATATTGTCTATAAGTTGTATAAGTTTCATGATCCATAAATGCTGCCATCTTCTGTGACCCAAAGCTCATTTAAAATGGACTGAAGCAAAGAGGGAAACGGTTCTGTGGTCAGACAAATCGAAATTTCTTATATTTTTTGGAAAATATGAATGCCACATCATCCACACTACAGGAGCGGGAGAGAGACCATCCTTGTTGTTAAGCCTGCATCGCTGATGGTATAGGGGTGCATTAGTGCATGTAGAAATGGCTGATTGCAGGTGTAGAAAGGCACCATCAGTGCAACATATAGAGCAAAACAGACGTCACTTTTTCAGGGACGGCCTTTCATATTTTTGTAGGACAGTGTTAAAAAGCATGCCGCTAATATTACAACAGCATGGCTTTGTTATGTAAGAGTCCGAGTGCTGAAACAGCCTGTCAGCAGACCAGATCTTTCACCAACTGAAAATATTTGGCACATCATGAAACAAAAAATAGGACAAAGAAGTCCAGCAGCAGCCCCCCTCAGTTCCCAGATATTTACAGACTGTTGTTAAATGAATAGAGGACTCTAAATTGTGGTAAACATGGCCCTGTAACGACTTTTTAGAGAACTGCTTCTGCCATCAAATAAAAATTAACCTTTTTTTGTTTTAAAATCATGATTTTTTTTTCTATAATCTGTTGTGAATGGAATATGGGTTTATCAGGTTGTATTTACATTTTGGAGCTGGGGTTATGAATATTAAATCCTGTGATCAAGTTCCAGTAATGCCATGCATGCAGTCTGGCCAGTGTAATGTGTGAATTGTCCCCCTGTAGTCTAGACCTGCCTCACAACACAGGGTGTTTCTTGGAATCCCAAGTATGAAAAAGGCACCACTTAGTTTCTAAATGCTAACATAACATAACACAATGCTAAACTATACTATACTTATTGCGTAAATTTTATTATTTAAAAAAACATATACATTAAATGCAAATTTGTTTTCTGTCTTTCCTTTAAAGTTGTCATCCTGAATCATTAGTCATTTGTTTTTTATGCAATTCACAAACGACATATTTTCTGTGAGAGAGTGCAGACAAAGCAAACAATCTACATAGTCATTTAGACTGTAGAGCTTGCTGGCTTTTCAACCAAATTAGCTGCAAAAATCCTTAAAATAATCTAAGAGCGGAAGACTTTGACTGTGGTTTAGAACTAAACTTGTAGCAAACAGTCAGGTTTATAGAGCATATTTGCTTAAAAAGGTTTTTGCTGCAGCTGAGACCACAGAGAGCAAGGAATGCATCAAAAATATTAAGACTAGTGGAAAACTAAAAGAGTGAGCTGAGGGATGCTGAAATGTTCCACAGACCTGAGTCATATTTGAAAGTTTCTTTAGTAGAGGTGGCAACTACATTTACACAGCAGCCTAATAATGCCATTATTAAAGATATTCGACGCATTAATAAAAAGTGCAATTTAAAAATAACAGTGAATAATATCACTTTAGATTAATTACAGTATCTCAATTAAAGTAGCTTACAAACATCTAAAAGTACACTGTAAAGCTTTGACTATCAGTATTAAAGCCATGTGATATAATTGTGTAAATCTGAATGCTAAATGATGTACTATAAGCAAGAAAGTTTCAATGAGTATAGGTTATTAAGCATTCATTTTACATAATTCACTCATATATCCTAACTAAGTCAGTAGTAAAACAAAGTTTGAATTTTTATGTTACTCACATAAATTGTCCTCCTGTAAAGATGTAAAGATGATCAAAATACCAAAGAGCCTCTCACATGCAAAAAGGGTGTAAAATTAAGATTTAGATGAAAGTATTAAATAAAACAAAAGGCTCAGGTTTGAATATTAAACTGAGCCAGAGGCATTCTTTTCCTCATAATTCAGATTAATGATTGCATATTACATAGTATGTTTTACAAACAGCATATGCATCAATATTATTTAATAACAACATGAAATATTTTTATAATAAAGAATTAATACAGATTATTTTAACAAAGTCAAAATAGCTTAAACGTAGCACTTCAGTGTTATATTTTTCTAGCATCAGTTTTTAACTATCTGCTCAGATACAGTCTTTCAGAACGCCCATTACGTACACAGTAGTTTGATTCATTGTTTAAATATTGATCGGAACTGCTTAAAATCAATAGTCTCTGTTTAATTCAACATAACAGTGCAAGAACACTGCTTCTTGTCTTGTCGATAAACGTGGATTCTTTAAAAACTAAATTCTCTCATTTTGTTCTGTGATTTTAAAAAAACTGTTTAACGATAGTGCTGTGATTAAACTTTATGTAATGTTTTGAAACTTACACTTGAAGGCTGTTCATGGGAATATCAAGGATATATTTACCACATTTTCCATCCATCTATTCTCTTCTATCGTCATTTAATTTAATTTAATTCTTTCATGATTAATTTAAAGATACGCTAAAGGAGCATATCCAGTGACACTGATTTATTTCTCCATTTTAAAGAAGTGATCTGCATCCACAGCAAAATTAAATGGGTTCTTCTTTTGCCAGTGTTGCGCCTTTCCACCTATGGTCCTATAATTACACTTTGTAGATATCGCATAGTCTTGCTGACTAGTAAACAAACACAATAATCTCATAACTCCACACAGGCTTTCACTTTAGTGTAGTAATAAATATTCACCTTGGTCACATTTTCAGCTCTTACTGAGGTGAGTGAATTAGAATACAGATGACTTGTATGTGGAGAAAATCTTATTAATCTGAATAATGTGATCGTATATCGTTGTTTTTGTATGTAAATGAATGTTTCAAGCACACTAGAGAGGAATCTCACCTGAATTTACATTTAGATATCAGTGATATGGCCTGTGCTTGTTTGCTGCATATTTGTGAATACCAAATATGTGAATCATTGTGACAGAATCAAGAATCACTTCACCTGGCTTTGGCACGGTTAAGGATCCACTCACATGATGGCGATTTATTTGCAAAGATTCATATAACAGTCACAGATAAATGTGTTTCCAGCTCTAGGCAGCGCAGTAATTTATACATCCAAGGATTGCTTCCTGCTGTGCTAACTTTGTTCTTATTCTCTAATGTGGAGCAAATTGGGGTGTGATGAAATTATGGGGTCTATTTCTGTGTGCAAATGTAAGTATTCACTCTTTTTAGAAGGATGACTAGATTAATTGCAATTGGAGTTGGGGCGCCCTCCAACAATGGCCAATCAATTTAACCACTCACTTCCTCTTTAGAACCAGAAGACTAATGGGACTAAGACAAAACTGCTTATGTGTAGGAGGTAATACGAATGTACGCGTGGACTCCAATCTCCAATTATGCTCGCCAAAAAGCAGGCGGTTTTATGGCTGAAAACACTTCTCTGTAATAATGCTCTCAGTGAGTCATAATATGCAATAGAATAACTTAATTTAGCGTTATTTGAATGTGTTTATATACAGCACGTTGCTTCAATTACTGTGAGAAAAACTAATGTCTGTTTACATAAATGGTTTGCACAATTACCTAAAACTACAGCTTCCCAAAACAATCTTATTAATGTAATATGAAGCACATGACAAAAAAAGGTTGGAAGAAAACATGCATCCCATGTCTCCAGGTGTTTGAGCTGCTTTACCTTAGCGCAGGTGCTTATTTAGTGGCTACATATTTTCCTAGAGCTTGATAGTGTCTCACAAGTTTTCAGACTATTGACCTGATGCGCACTGGTCCTATTTTTGTGTGCAAGCTTGAAATGACAGGTCTTTTGTACGCAGGCTGCGTGGGTTTCTGCGAGGCTGCCACTGGCACAAATAGCCAAAGGGCTTGATTAATACTAAGTGAGCTATTAATCAAGGGTGTGGTGATTATTACATGTTCACTGAGTGAGTCATATCGCCATGCTCAATGTTCTAACTACACTGATGAGCGCCATCAACAGCTCAAAAATAGGGGGAGAAAACACTTAAAATGGTTATTATTGTTTGAATGATTCATGTCATGCATGCCAAAAAAAATAATACTAACAACTGTTATTGAACTGTCTGATGCTTATTACACTTCAGCTTCTTTGCAACCACCTTCCTAACCTGTGCTTTCCACCAACCACCAAAAAAATTGTAAGGTAACGTTACAAAAATCCCCTATGAGCAAGCAGTTGGCTTCTTGCTCATAGGAGGAAAAACTTTTACTGGAAGAAATCTCTGCCAATATCATCGTAAACATTGGATTGGTAGTCAGTAACCACTGATTTTCTGTCACAAAGACACTCAGTCATGCGCTCTTAAAGGCTTTCCCAAGCTGACTTTCTGAGTAAAACACTTCAAAACCAAAAAGAAAATCAATGAATGAGAAAGCTGGGCATTTCCTAGTGATTACTGCAAGCTCACTAATAAGGTTAACTAATGTATCAGGGTTAAATGATAAGGCCTTTCCTGCAAAAGACTGGGGTTAAAACAGCCTTCCTACTAGTATCTCATTTTATTGGAGCTGCAGCTTACAGCACTGTTTCCACAGGCCAGTCCATCTTGGAAAAGGATTTGATTAAAAATGACAGGCAGCATTTCTTGTTTCACCCTTTTCTGGCTCCATGCTTTCTGTTGTGCTTTGAGCTAAAAATTTCAACTGATGGAGAAAGAGAACTGGAAATAGAAGTGGTGTGATCACTTAATGAAAAAAATACAATAAAATGAAATTTTATTAAAAGCATGTGTGTGTATATAAATATTTCAAACCTGCTTTACTCACTGTGTACAACTATAAAAATGTGCCATGTTTTTCACCAATTATAACTATGACAACTATGTTTCCTTTACCCCTTACAGCTACACAGCAGTTGCAATGCCAATGCTGTACAATACCCGCTACAGTTCCAGGAGACGGGTCACGGTGATGATCTCTGTGGTTTGGGTACTGTCTTTCGCCATATCCTGTCCCCTGTTGTTTGGCCTAAATAACACAGGTAAGAGAGAGTACAATACACACATGATCTTCAGTCTGTGAATCAGAAATGCTTTTGTGATGGTGCAAGACAGAGTGATAGCAGAGGTAACAGACGTTTGCCATTGTACTTAAGCAGACCATCTATGTCAGCACCCAGTTACAGCTACAATACTGCACTGTAAATTTACTATGGAGCTATTTGTGCCGGTAAAGAACTCCTTCACACCCGTGTGTATCTACTTTTAGTGAGCCTTTGGCCTTTAGGTTGGTTATTCCAAGGAACAGGGGCTTAAAGGAGGATTACTAGTAAAGCAGTTTTGATTAAGTGCTTTTTGCGAGGCGCCACCTTGTTGTTGACCAACTCCAGTGGCCTGTCACTTTGAAGCTCCGCTCATCCCTTTGAGTCCTTCATTTAATGCTGGTTCAGCTCAGACTCAAACCCTGAGAAATAAACACTGACTGTAGATCGAGTCGGCATATTTTGTAGAAAGCATGAAAGAAGGAATTACAAATTTCAAAAGACATTTAAAAATGGAGAAAAGTGAAGCATCAAATAGCCAGACTTCTAGCCCAGAGTGTGAACTGAGCTTTAAAAACACTGGATCCTACATTTCTCTGATAGCAACTACTGAAGGCTTCCTGCATCTTTCTTGAACCTTGTTAGTGGAAAGATAATTCTTTGTATAAAATTGGTGAAGTTCCCCCTAAATAGACTACTTTCTCTAGCCTTCTAGCCACAGCCTTCAGCGTGACAGTTGGACAGGTTTAACTTGAAATGCTGCAATTTTCTTTATAATTATTAGTTTTGGTTTGTCCAAAAAGCTGGAAATACAAGCCCAGAGAAGCATCGCCTCAGTTTCTAAACTAGTTTTTAGGGAATTTTAAAAATGAGGGCAATTCATCTAGTAAATTATTAAAATCTAAACTTAACAAACAACCCTTGCAGAGTCCAAAACTGGGGTGAGATGATCTCTGCATTTGGCTCCACAGCTATAAGGCAGTCCACATGGGCTGTGAGAAGTGGGAGTACGGTTAATGTGAGTGGAGGTGAGGTAGAAAGAGTGCTGTGTAAATAACCTCAGAGTGAGGGGAATGTAGAAGTGGTGACATTTTTGGATCTACTTGCAATCAAAAAGCAATTATTGGTTCAAGCAAATCTAAGGTTCCAAATTCTGGTTTTACAGACTTTTAAAAGTGGAAGTAAAATAAGATTAAACACACACACACGCACAAAAGCAGCAAGTCTTGGGAGAAAGAGAAAACGCAGTCTTAATTCACATTGTGCTTATCTCCACAGCTACTCGTGATGAGTCTCTCTGTGTGATCGCCAATCCAGCCTTTGTGGTGTACTCTTCCATTGTGTCCTTTTATGTACCCTTCATCATCACTCTGCTCGTTTATGTCCAAATTTATGTGGTCCTGAGGAAGCGCAGAAAACGCGTCAACACAAAACCAAAGCAGCTTGTCTCTCAGGCTGCGGACCCTGATATGGCCACCTCACTAAAGGTGAGCTGCTATAGCTGGCTCGTGTTTTTATGGCTTCATTTACACATTTATTTTATCAAAGCTCCTTTATCTCTCTGTACTGTCTTAATATTTTAGAGTAATACATTAAACTAAAAAACATCACAAAAGACATCATTTGCTGTTTGATTTTGTTTGTTTCTTTAGAGAACTGCAATACATTTTTTCAGTCCAGCTATTCTTGTTGGTTTTACAAGCAGACATTGTATTACAGAGCAACACATTATTAAAATAAAAACACAGACTGCGATTGATTTTCTTTGAATACACAATGGATTAAGATAAGGGGTTGAATTGAGCAAGACTCTGCTAGAAAAGGCTTTTTAGCTGTTTTAGTTTTTAACACCTTACATGAAAATAAGATATTTAATATCAGGTTTAATCCAGGACACAAATTTGAATCTTAAATGACACATTTCCCTGTAAAATGTGTCATTTAAAAAGAAAATGTGACATGCAAAACTAATTGTGATGGCCCTCAAATGACCTTTTGCTTTTCTGGGTATTGATTTTCTTGTCATAGCACAACTTATTGATGTCTGTACAGAAAGTAAGCAACACTCTCGATCCAGTGCAGTACATTACTCATGTTTATGCATGGCTTCGTGCTGTGGTTTTGGTCAATATATGGCAGCATATTGACAGATGGCTATAATCTTTAAGGGGTAATGGAGCATAATTTTTCACTTCTTATCTTAATTATCAAATTAAGGTTGGTGAAATTATTTCACACAACAATATATTACATGGTCACATTGATGGATTGGATTTTCAGCGGGTATAGAAGCTGCAGATCAGAGTGCTGCTAAACAGCCTTTCCGTGCTCAGTGTAGCCTCATTTGACCGTGTAGGAAGCGGGACCTGTTCCTCCATGCTTAGACGGCCCTTTTGTCAGTTGCTTTGACATTGTACTCTCTCCTTGCCTGACACAGCTGTTTTCATTTCAGGATAAGTGCACTCATCCAGAGGATGTGAGGCTGTGCACCATGATTGTTAAAACTAATGGGAGTTTTCCTGTCAACAAGAAGAAAGTGGTGTGTATACATTTTTGTTCTTTTGTTTTTATGCTTTCCTCTAAAAGTTTAATTGATGAAAAAAAAAGTTTTTGCCTGCAGAGATTTCGAAAGATGTCACCTTGAAGTTTTCCCCATCTGCTAGAATAAATGTAATTTTAAAATTCAAAGTTAAATAAAGAAAAGTTTTATACTCACTACCCCCTATCCGAATGAACCTTTACTAAATTTGTCTTCATTCAGATATTCATCAAAGATGTGGTTAATGAGGGAGAAGATCTGGAGCTGGATGAGCTGAATAACAGTGGAAGCAGTGTGAAGCAGAAGCAGCAGATACAAGGTGCTCTTGGAGACACTCCAGCCACAAGCCATCAGCTATTGATGCCCAACAAGGCCAGCGCTAGCCCCATCTCAACACCCCCCACACCCCACAAGGAGGGCCAGAAAGCAGAAAAGAACGGCGATCCTGCCAAGGAGACCTTAGGCGATCCGGCACCCATCGTAGCCAAAGCCTTCCAGACACAGGCCTTACCTAATGGCAAGACTCAGACTTCTGTGAAAACCATGAGCAAGAGAAAGATCTCCCAGCAAAAGGAAAAGAAGGCTACCCAGATGTTAGCCATCGTCCTTGGTAAGTTAGTCCCTTATTATTATTATTAGTTTTTAAATTATTCATTTGATTTTAAAAGAAGTCATGAAAGTGAATACAAGCTCAATTAAAAGCCGTTTTATGTGATTCTGCACATCAAAGTTGAAGTGACACTGGAAAATTAAGCATTTCTAGAACCAAATGTTATCTTTGAACATGCAAAGGAGCGTGTTCAAAGCGTTTTTTGCAATGTACATATCTTTTTTTCCCACTGCTCTATCATAGGTATTTGGCTGTCTTTACGTTTGTTTTTGTTTTCATTTCAATCAATTTTTTCAGTAGGACCTAAAAAAAGAGTTTGAAAAACAAGTCAGACAGTGATGCAACAAAAAGAAATTGTACTGATACTTTAGAATCCAACTCCTCAGTAGGGCCACCCATATTTGGGCTTTATTTCCTCATTCTCTGTATCTTATTCTAATACCTAATTTTTTTTTCTTTCCTCAGGTGTATTCATTATATGCTGGCTGCCGTTTTTCATCACACATATCTTGAATACCCACTGCACCAAATGCAAGGTTCCTGCCGAGATGTATAACGCTTTCACCTGGCTGGGCTATGTGAATAGTGCTGTAAATCCCATCATATACACCACCTTTAATGTTGAGTTCAGAAAGGCATTCATTAAGATCTTGCACTGCTGAGCTGCAACATCACTTATCTGATCAGACTGAAGGAGAGGTGATGAATGAAAGCATATCCTGTGACAAATACCTCATCCTCTTAAGGAAAATACATCACGTGGGGAAACTGCGATCTGTTCATTTAAAGTTAGTTAAGTGACTGAAAAAAAAACAAACTGGCTTTGGCTTTGTCTTCTTGAAAGGCGTCTTGGATCTATATGTTAAATTTCGTGTGGAGTCCCGTTCTCCAAATCACTGAATGTAAAACAAGAAATGTCTGTAACGATGACCTGTTTTATGGAGAGAGAAAAAAAATGACATTGTTCTCTGACATCATTGTGCTTGTCATGTAAGGAGCCATCTGTGTATACCACACACATGCAAACTGCTATTTATTGTATGTGTACTTTATGTTTTAATCATAGATGTTTTTTGCAAATCTTAAAGATATCAAGTCAGTGTTCATTGCAGTGTTAAAATTGAAAACAATTCACTGATTAGATTCACTGATTGTCTGAAAGACACGGTATAATTTACTTGCTGTATGATGCAGCCATGCCAATATCTGCAATTTAGCAATTTTATAAATAAATATCTATTATAATTACTAATGCTATTATTATTATTATTATTTGCTGTACATAGTTTTTCTTAATGCATTTATTGTGATTATATGACCGCAATAGAAATGTGATGCATGCTACACTGCTCCTCTACTTGAAATGCATGTTTAACAATAAATTGCAAAAGATCTCCAATAAATGAAGTTAAGATACCGTGTGAAGTGCCACATGAATATCACCGCTCACTGTGTGTATACGAATACACTCATAACAGACTGGCCATTATTCAAAAGCTTCTCTGTTATTCCTAGGACTGATCTGCAGTTTGAGTTGTTTACTGGAAGCAACACCAAGCTCTGCTGCAGAGGCGTTGTTCCATTAAAACTAATGACTGGTATGTGGAATTTGCAGCTTCCAGGTATAATCATGTGGATATGTGCAACCCAGCCCCTGAAGCCATTCCCTGGGGCCTTTGCTGAGCAAGAATGGGGTGAAACTGAAATAATAGCTACCGCAATACATGTATACAACTATTACAACTACAGTGTTGGAGTTGGAGTGATGATCTCATTTTATATTTACAGCTTATACGCACACACAGAGCTACCGGACTGACTCGCTATGTGCCACTGTTTGAATAGCTTCAGTCCTAATGAACAGGTGGGAAAGGGGAGTTCATGTCTGAAGATGAGATCAAAATGAAGCGTAAATAACACTCCAGCTTATTCTTTAGTAATGAACACTGACTGAATTTACTTGTTATTACTGTGTGTTATTCTTTTCATTGTTGTTATTCATGTTTAGTTATTTAAAACACAATTTTGAGATGGTTCGATGCCTCTGTGCATCTGCTACAGATCTCATTTTTGAATATTTCTTTTTCTTTAAAGGGCACGCTGTGTTACGAGTCATTGGGAAACTAAATATTTGTGGGCGCCATGGTTTGCCACTAAACCGTGGTATCTATGTGTGACAAACTGACAAGTGGAAATAAATATTTGAAATAAAGTTTTGTGTGTTGTGCATGGGTAAAAGAGTAAGACTACAGTGTCAATGGATGCATATCACCATGTCTGGGTCAAGAGGGGGATGACATAATTCCTTTGTTGTGGCTGTGAAATGCACTCTTTACTCTCATGAGTAGCTGACATCATTTATACTTTCGTTCAAGCTCAACATCAGTCTTCGTGATGGGCAAAGATGGTTGAGCATTGCATCATTTCAGAAAAAAAAGAACAACAAAGGGATGAGCCAGAAACAACATATTAAAGTATTTCTACCGCTGTTAGCAATCCCCAAGTCTGACTAAGGCAACCGAATGAAAAATAGTTGCTGTTCAAGGTAATTCATCACTTGTGTTGAGTGCTGCACTTGCAGTCTGAATACACAATGCTCTGGAAATGCAGCTTTCACCTTTTTTTGTTGTCATGTCATCTCAGAAGACTAAACCTTTCCTTGAAATATATCTGAGCAGCTACAGTGCGGAAAGCAGCGCTAGTAAAGGTGATTATTCATGCTTGATTTTATTCTGAGGAGTTGACATTTAACTGCAGATTGTGCTGGCTTTACATCAATAAACTGGGAGTTAAAATGATACCCAAACACCCTAAAGTATCTAAAATCAATATCTTAAAGAAGAGCCAGGGAAGTGTATCTTAGCCTTATCAAGGGAAACAGATGAGAGCAATTTATTACACCAGCAAAAAACAAAATTATGAAACTGAGTTGTATTTCTATAGGAGTTTGATTATTGAGACGACTGTTTCTTTCTTAGTAATTAAGATCTAAGAGCAAATAAGCATACTCCCAAAATGATAAAGGTTCCATATCATACAATATAAAAACTGTAAAAATATGAAACCCCAGTTAAACATAACCATAATCAACCCTCAATCGTCCCTCTCTTCTGAGGTAAGGTGAAAGTGATGGGGTGGGCATGTTGCTAACTCTACACTGCTTTTTCTAGCATGCAGGCAAAATGTACTGTTGTTGAGTGCAACAGAAAACAGGAATTTTTACTGAGTCTTCATGAGAGTTCGTGTTTTGTCTTAAGTGACTAAAGCTGTCTGTTAAAAACACCACTCCAATGACAAAAAAATTAATTTAACATGCAGCTTTGTTAGCTTGCTTTGATTGGTTGATTTATGGTTTTGTGTGATTTTTTTTTATGTTTCTATAACTTAACACCAAAGTCACCCAGCTGTGAATTTGTATATGAGGCTATCATTGGCATTTTTATTGATCATATGCCCACAGCTGTAAGACAAATGTTTTGTCAAAAGTTGGTTGGAAACTGTGGAAACCTTTTAAATAAATGTAAATTTAAAACCTGTAAAAAAGGGCTTCTGGTGGTCAGCTTTGGTTTTTGCCTTCTGTGCTTCTCTGCAAACTAAACTCAGCTGGCTCTCTATTAATTTTGTCTTTTGCAAAGATAATGCAATTAATGTTATTATATTTCATAACTGAAGTATTCACTCAGCAGTACTTACATTTTATTCATTAGTTTATCAAACCCTACAGTCACAACAGAATTAAAACTGTGATTGCTGCTCAAGAGTTTGTTACATTTCCTTGTTTCTTTTACAAAAGAGCAGAATCAGTAACGAGGCTGTCAGTTTCAGTGAATACCTTCATTCAGCAGCTGACTTGTGAAATAATTGGTGATACAACTTAATGGACTTGTGCAAACTATAGGGACTTGAATTTTACTTGCCCCTTGTGTGTGTGTGTGTGTGTGTGTTTCTGTCTAGCTATCTTTGTGAGGACCGAAATCTGCATTCTACTATACTTGTGAGAACCAACAGTCACTTGTGAGGACATACAAACGGTCCTCACAAATTTAAAGCCATTTAAAGGCATCTTTGAGGCTCAAAATGTGGTTTTAGTGTCAGGGTTACAGTTAGGTTATGGTCAGGTTTAGGTTAAGGGTTAGGGTTAGGCATTCATTTTTGTGTGTGTGTGTGTGTGTGTGTGTGTGTGTGTGTGTGTCTGTCTGTGTGTGTCTGTCTGTCTGTGTGTGCATGTGTGTGAGAGAGCCTCACAAAGAAGCTATGTAAGGCTCATGAGTCCCAGTCGACTGTGTATAAAGGTTTCTTCCTTTAAGTCTTCCATTGGTATTTGTTTATGGATTTTTCTGCCTTTAGCTTTTAGCTAATTCAGCCGAAGGACCATTAAGTTCATGGATTCTGTTGAGGCATCCATCTACAATTCACAAAACTACAGTAATCAAACATATACACACTAATCGCCCAATGGGTTTTCTCCCAAACATGTCTTCAAGGTCAAGATCTAACCCATGTTTGTTTTCTTACTGCATTGAGGCAACTGTTGCCTGAAGGCACTTTATATTATAAGGTAAATGCCCTACAATAATACAAAGAAAACAGAGAAAACCCCAACAAAACTATATATCCCCCGATAAGCAAGTGCTTTGGTGACAGTGGAAAGGAAAAACTCCCTTTTAACAGGAAGATACTTCAGCAGAACCAGGCTCAGGGAGGGGCAGCCATCTGCTGCGACTGGTTGTGGGTGAGCGATGAAGACAAGACAAAAGACAGGACATGCTGTGGAAGAGATTTATTATGGTATTGAAAGTCATTGTGATTTAACCACCGCAAATTAATCCATTACTGATTACACAGCAAATAGGGAGGCACTTTTAAATGTTCAGTTTCTATGCCACATGTCAAAGCAAGATTTTGAATGTGATTAAAGTGGTGGGTGGGTTCTTTTGCATGTTTAAAGAAGCCAATTGAGTCTAATAATAGATTAAATGCCGTGTTGAGGATATCTACATGGATGTTAAAATTACACACAACTATTTTATCTAAGCTGAGCCCTAAATCAGGTAAAAAGTTTGAGAATTCAGACAGAAAAAGGCCCAGGTGGACGATAGATAACAACAAATAAAAATGTTTTTTTTTTAGTTTTCCAGCTGGGTGGACAAGGCAAAGCATCAATTAGTGTAACTCAGGGGTCATTTAAACTAACACAATCATCCTACTGTAATTATTAATTTATTAACTAACAGGAACTTAGAGGAGAGAGACCTAATGTTTAACAATCCACATTTCACAGTTTTATTTGTTGT